TGCGATTCGTTTCTATCTCCATCAAGTTTGTCCATCCATTTTGAGCGTTTTTTGATGTTGTTTCACTCATTTTGGTGGCAGTTCCAATTGTTTCAATTTTGATAAAAATCATGGCACAGGTCCTATAGCAGTAACAGACAGTTGGGTTCGCTCTGGGTTTTGATCACTTTCATGTTTGCGGCACCCAGCCGAGCAGAGCCTTCTTTTGTCTTCTTGAGTGAAGAGGAGAAAAAGAGGTTCTGCCTGAATCAAGTGAAACTTTTGAGGTCGCCGCAACCTCAACTTCTGGATTAGTCAATCTTCTTTTCTCTCGTCAAACTGTTTTTCGGAAGTGCGAGCATCTTTTTATTGATAACCGATAGTCATGAACTAGCCCGCTGTAGCAAGCGCACGGTCATTGGGTTGGGTCCGAAACTGTATCCTACCAAAATGCAGCGCATGCTCGAGCAAGCAAAAGAAAGGCTCGGCTGGCAGGGTGGTTTGCGGTTACAGGGACAGTTAAAATAAAATTAACTTGACTAGTGGAACACGGTTAGGCGGTAAACGCGCTTGCCGATTTTGTTTTCGCCTTGTTCCAATTACTTTCTGCGTTTCAAACCTTCATACCCTTGAAAGATTCAGACAGAAATCAACATATATATTGCAATTAATCATCTTTTATTGAAACATCAATTAAGTTCAAAGTATGAATTCCCATTATATTGAATTGAAATTCAACTGAAATTGAATAGGCACTTTGAGGATAGTCATTCACGTGTTACAAAACCGGCGCCATGCTGGAGAGTAAGGAGCCCACTGGGACAAGACAAACAAAAAGAGCTGACAATTTAACATGGTAATTTTTTGTTTGTTTGTCTTGTTCCAGTGAATGTCGAGCTGCAAAGGGCCAATTATCATTGAATTTCACTGATATTGAATTCCAGCATGGAATGTTACAATCGGCTCGGCCAATTTTTTTAAGAAAATGGACAAACTTTCATATCAAGGATCCAGTTGTGTTTTTAATTGTATTGTCACCCCATGATACCGTTCTTTATCCATGGTCATACACCGAAATCTATTGTTACTTATCACTGTTTCAGGTACCGATATAATGGAAGATAACCCAAAATTATTTTTAGATAGGTAACAAGCATAGATAACAATCTCATTACTGTGGCTTTCTTATAGATTCTCAGGACTGATGTCTCGTTGGTCTTGCCCTTCACAGGGGCACCCAAGGAGAATATACTTCAAAACCACTTAAACGTAGCATTTTTGAACGTATTTTGGTATTTAAATGGTACTGATATAAGCATGTTTTTATTCCCTAAAAATTTTTCATTTGTTCGGTCGGATTTCCTAGCTGAAAGTCCAGTGACCCGAAAATTCTAGGGATCGCTTACCTTTTCGAAAATTTCAGCCAGAAAAAAAACTCCCGAAAATTCTAGATGACCTTTTTAGGGTAAAAATCCGTTAAAAATGGGCAAGTATACCATTTTTGAGATGTTCGAAAATCCTAAGAGAGGCAAGCAAGCAAGAAATTTTGCAACAAATGTTCCGAAAATTCTAGATCTCAAATCGTCTTCCGACCAGATATTTTCCGAAAATTAACGTTGGGTGCCCCTGCCTTCAGGGTCGCTTCATAAATTTCCAGGACTGAAATTTAAACAGAACTGGGCAAAATATCTGTGGCTCTGACTCCTTGTGTATCAACTCCAGCTACGCAGCCCTTAAGTTGAAAACGTTTTCCAGCTACCTTACAGGACGGAGGGAGTTTTAAAGATTAGTTGGTCATTAATTAAGCCATGGCGGTTAAGGTGGCTCCGTAGTTGCTGCAGACGCATTGAACTATGACAACCTTCAGTCATAATTATTTTTTTCGGTTTTAACGCGATGACTACGAAACTTACGAGAGAAGACGCGCAGCTTTCATTCGCCAATAATAAGAAAAAAGACACTTTAAAAACGTTCATTTGGGCGGAGGGCAAATTAATGTTTTCTAACACGGAAAAACAGGTGCTTTGCAAGTAACATAACACTGAGAATTTTTACAACAGGTTTCTAGTTAGATCTATGTAGTAAGGGTGTAGAGAGCAAAGCGTTTCGTACGAGAGCGGGCAGAGGAAAGCCGGGGGATTGCATCATCAAAATTCACGAGGTCTTCACTTACGATTGTACAAAAGTAATTTGTTTCCGCAAAGAGAAGAGCCTTTTTAAGGCACTAGTTATAAAATTGAATTGGTCTTTAGAGGATGAATTTACTTTTATTAATATAAACAGAAAGTCTGCATGATATATACGGTCACGCAGTTTGCTCATCAGTCGGAATCCACTGAACCCTGCCTCTTTCGTAATTGTATTTACGTGAGAGAATTCGACTTGATCTAATTTGTTTGCCATTTACATGGGCAACTGACCGTTCACGGTTGGGGCCAATTATTCACACAAATCAGTCCCAAGGCTTGAAACTCACTCAAAGATGCGATTTCACTAATGAAACAAAAATTTCCGTTTAGAACATTTCGTCCAGTAAAGAAAAAAAACAGGACAACCTTTTCAGATATTCTGTCGCTTTCCAACCAGATGTTCCCAAACAATTTGCAAAATGATAAACAACCCCCAAAAGAAAATGTCATCCACACAGTTTGCTCGGAATTTTTCCGTCTCGGGTAGATGTTAAGAGGACTCTGCCCTTTTTTACGGTTCGTTCACGGAAAGAATGCAACTTGGTTCAATTTTACGGTGGCCCACAAGTGCACACCGAATTCCAGAAAGTCACACCGAATTCAAATAAGTCACACCGAATTCAAATAAGTCACACCGAATTCAAATAAGTCACACCGAATTCAAATAACTCACACCGAATTCAAATAACTCACACCGAATTCAAATAAGTCACACCGAATTCAAATAACTCACACCGAATTCAAATAACTCACACCGAATTCGAATAAACTCACACCGAATTCGAATAAACTCACGCCGAATTCGAATAACTCACACCGAATTCGAATAAACTCACACCGAATTCAAGTAACGAGCGACGCCTGGGTACGAGCAGTCAAGTGACTGCAAGGTATCCTGGTACCAATCCCGGTATCCTCTTCTTCTTATTCTTCTTCCCTGGAGTTCTTCCCGCTCCCGCCATGTTCTGCTCGAGCTGTGGATGTGCGTTGGAAGAAGGGGACAATTTTTGCTCCACGTGTGGTGCAGGTAAGTGTATACAAGCCTTTCATACCGTAATTTACAGACTTAAGCAGCTACACCTATACAGCGGTGATTCCCTCGTCTGTTGCAGGGCTCGACGTTGCGACCCGTGGGGTCGCCAATGCGCCCAGCTTTTACTCAGTGGCGACCAAATTTTCACCCCTGGTCGCCAACCTGGCCCCCAAGATAGGTGACTATCTTCTTTGGGAAAACGTACACTAACGATAATCCGTTATCCTTCACACAACTAAACCCATTAATTCTTAAATATAATTTTTGGCAACCAGAATACTTGTTCTGGCGACAAAAAATGAAAACTTGGGGGCCAGCTGGCCCCAAGATTTTTTTCTGAAAGTCGAGCACTGTGTTGACTCACTTTGGATAGGGGATAGTCGTGGAATGAAAATATAAATGAAATGTATCCTTATGTTTAAAAGCGCAACCATGCAGATGCGATTTTTATAATAGAGGATTGCACAAGTCACAATTTTGATACACATTAGTGGTCATTTCAATGGGGGCATAGACTGTTCACAGTCCTCTATTTTCCTGTAAGATCGTCGCGATTGCGATTGTTTATACGAGTAGCCGCCATCTTGTTTTTTAGGCGAACGCGTCCTCTAAACACTTAGGGACGGGCGTCAGGAAGGGTGGGGTGGGGGTGGGAGACGGCCGCTCGTAACATTCGCGACAATCTTACGGGAAAATAGAGGACTGTGAACAGTGTAATGCAAAAACCAATAAATCACAAGCTTTTAAGAGCTTTGTCCTATCCTATCAATGGGCTATTGCATTATCTTTGTTTGTAACTATGTGTTTATTGCATAAAATTATTCTAGGTCGGTGCAGCACTGCCACAACTCCAGGAAATTCAGGTACAATTGCACTGAACATTTTTATAGTAATTATTGCTATTGTAATTGATTGATTTGCTGATTTGAATTCCTGTTAGATGCAGTAGACTTAGATGTATATGATTGATCAAATTATAAAATAATATATTGTACAGTTCCAGAAAAATCCATAACCACCCCATTGAAGGTCTCGGATATTCCTAGGGGAAGGGGGGTTTTAAGCCCCAAAATTTTAGAAGAAAAGTATGATGCTAAAGTGGAATTTCCTGGGGGGTGCAAAACAAAAACCTTCCGTGGGGGGAGTATGGTTATTTTCTGGAAATGCACATTCTATTGTAATGAAGGAATACTGGAACTTTTATAGTGATCTTTTAGACTTAATATTTTCTTAATAATTATTTTTCCATTAGCTCATTCTTCCCAAGAGCAATCTAATGAACTGCGTGCAACGGGTAAGTTATTTATATTGTGTATAATTAGCCATAATTTTTTCATAATACCGATTGTAATAACCAGCCATGGGTAATGTTAAAAACACACTACCAGTACCGGTAATTTGTTTACACTGAAATACAATTAACACAACTCATGATCCCTTGTTATGCACAAATTATTATCAGTCACACAATCAGTCACACCATATATACAATGCTCTAAATGACCAATGACCAATGAGCAATGGTGAGTGGTAAACCTAACAAAATGCTGAATTATGGTGATGCTTCTTGTCACTTCATGCTACACAACAGTTGCCAAGTGCTACTGTATGAATCATCAGATGCTGTAACCAGGATAAAATTGTCACAAGTCTGAATTTTAGAGGACCAGAGATTTTATGTTATAACTTTGTGAATATTATTACTCTCTTTGTCACTATATCACATTTGCTACCTCCAATTAATCACTTAGGGAGTAATGAGTATTGTCATCTTTACTCTTAGGCCATTCATCCACATCATGCGCTTCAACTTCTCACGCTTCAACTTGTCACGTGAAATCTTTCAATATGTTCAAAAAACTGAAAGGCCAACAGTGGAAATCCATTGTAAGCAAAAAAAGGCTGGAAGTGCAAGTGACAAAGAGATAGAAGTGCAGATCAACATTGGGCTCATGGTATGGAGTGACAAGAACGTGTGTATCAAACCAAAGAGAGGCAAGCGTCTTGCTTTGAGAGTGTCCAACAAAGCCACCTACAAAGTCATCCTGCAGAAAGCTGTGGAAAAGTGGAGAGCCTTTAACAGCGACCTCTATGATGAGAACGAAGACTACATTCTTCTACTTGAAAATGGTGAAGAAGCCCAGTTTCTTCCAGGTTCATCTGCCAGTAAAGAGTTTTTTTCCTCAAACGATACAAAGAAGAAACTGGAAAGGACTACAACAAAATTGTGTTGTACCTATGCAAGCTTAGTGACTTTCACTTTGACCTAAATAGTGAATCAGATAGAGATACTGATGAGCTGGTTGAGGAGCCAGAGAAGAAGCGACTGAAAAGCTTGACAACTGATGAAGAGCCTGATGCATCTGCTGTGTTTGCTAGTGATGAGAAAATTGCAATTGAGTTACAAAGGGAGTTTGACAATGAGTTATCCATTGACATGATTGACGCTGTCGAGAACATGGAGGATGGGAAAGATGACAACATGTCAATAGCTACTATCCATCAAGATATTTCAAGTGTAATTAAGTCCCTGTCTCAAAAGGTTGACCAAGATGGTCAGTTTTTTATTGTTTCTAGAAGAGGGTCCCCATTTCCTAGAGTTTTGTCCCTGTGGCAAAGAGAAGCCAACAGATCGTCTCCTGAAAAAGTGCTAAGAGTGCGCTATAGTGGAGAGAATGGTGTAGACAGCGGTGCATTATCGCAAGAATTTCTGGCACAGTTGATTAATGATATGGGGCTGGCAGTGTTTCCAGATGGAGCCCCCATAAATTCACTGTACAATGTTCATAACAAAAGTTTCAAAACCTGTGGGGAAATCATTGCAGTGTCTTTGGCTCAAGGAGGACCAGCGCCATCTTTCTTTGATGAGAGTGTGTACCAGTTGATGTTGGACCCTGATGTGAACATTGGCAACCTAGATGTTGACAGGCATTTCACTGCAAAGGACAAAGAGCTATTCGACGCAGTAAGAGCTTGTGACACATTTGAAGGTGCTTTGTGTGATGTAATTGTTGACCATGGATACACTGGCATCATTGATCATGACCACAAAGAGGATGTCATTGGAACAATGCAACTAAGCATTATGACCAAGCGTTTGCTGTACATGAAAGAATTTTGTGAAGGTCTGAAGCTGTATGGTGCATATGATGTCATTAGGGGCAATGCTTCTTTATGCAAGCCTCTTTTTGTGAAAGGTTCAAATCAGGTGGTAGATGCCAATTATGTCTTTTCGCTTGTCAATCCAAGCTACTCGGAACAGGGCTCGTCAAAACGACCACTTGAAGAGGCAGTCATTGACAACCTACAAGATTTTCTGATGTCATTGGAAGATGAACAAATAACTGGCTATTCCGAGCCAGTAGCATGGAAGGACTTCAATGACACGAACACTGAAAGTAGCGAAGTGGAGCGATTTCAGTCCATGGACACCACACCATCTGGTGTATTGGGGTGGCTGACAGGCCAAAAGCACCGCCCCTTAAATGGAGAGCCGCTGAATGTCACTGCCCTCTTCGACCATGATTGCTTCACAAGAAATCCTAATCACACAATCTGCTTTCCCCGTGTGGCAGCCTGCAGCAAGGAAATCACATTTCCAGTCTCCCAAATGAAAACCCCAGAACAGTTTAAACATGTCTTACTACTTGCCATGTGCAAAGGAAATGCATTTGGAAATGCATAGACTTTGGACAGAGTGAAGTGACAGGTTAAGGTATAGAATGGTTTTCACCCGAGTCTCGAAATGAATTTCAGGTTTTCTTTGACAGTACTCTGCAATTGATTAGCAAAACATGTTAGTTTCTCAGCAGTGAACCCAAAACTTGAAAACATTTGTATGTGTTTGCCGAGTTGTGGTTGGTTCATTGTTTCATGGTTTGCATTTGTCGTGATTGGCGACAGTAATTGTATATTTGTTTTGGTTTTACTACGCTGAATTGAAACTGCTTAGTGACATGTTTGTTAAGTTTTTGAGTGACCAGTAGAAACATTGAGGAATGTCACTGATGCAGTTCATTGTATTTTTTTTTTTACAATGTTGCTGCATGCAAAAAGGATGCTGTGGGTGGTAGTCGGGTTAGTGCATTTCATTGGCCACACAGCCTTAGTGAAGACCCAGTCAGCCACATGACCGACCCAAAGCAGTTTAAAATGTATTCTAATTTTGCAATTTACAAATGCAAGGACTTTGGACAGAGTAAAGTAAATATGTTTTATTGCATTGACAGCTTTGTATAACTAACTCAGAGAATTTCAAATTTTTCTTGTGTTGGCTGACTGGACTTTTATCACGAGTTTTAAACATTTCCCATTTACCAGCAGAACTGACAAGAGTTTAAAATGTTTATAAAGCAGCTATATTCTTTGTAGTTACCTGCATTGTTACCTGAAGAATTTTAAAGAAAAGGCATGCCTTGCTCACAGTTGGTTTCGACTGACTGAAAAGTGACAAAATGGTCACATGTAACAAAAGTTAGTGATAGAACAAGAAAATTATTGACTGTTCACAAGTATTGTTTTCGCATTCTTGGGACAAGTTTTAATTTTCAGTGTATGTACAAATTTTTATAAGTTAGTTCATGTTAATTCATTGTGACTAGTTCCTGTTAATATAACATTGGGGCTTGGGAAGGGCTTTTTACAAGCTGTATGTTTTGGAGTGACTTTACCTAACTCGTGAAAATAATAGTAGTCTAGTACGCACTATTAGACACTAACTGCATTGTTTCCTTTTTGCTTACTTTGTAGTATTACACAGTAATTTTCACACAGTGTTTCACGGGTTATGTAAAACCACTCTAGTTTCAGTTTGTTAGTATCAGTAAGTAAGTTGACATTGGTGTGGTAGGCAGTAATGCTTACTACTAAATTAGTTGAATGTTACAGTACTTTATGATAAGTGTTACCCGGGTAATGCTGCAAAGCTCTTGAGATTTCTTAACCATTAACGACCAAGTCCAGTTGTTTAGTTTACTGGGGGAGAAAACATTTCTGGATGTAGAGAAATGTCAGTAGGGCTGCAAAAGATATTATATTCCATAAACTGTAAAGGGCTAAGAATGCTGCATGAAACACTCTTGTAAATCAAACAGAAAGTGCTTTTAGTGTCTAATATATGTTATTGTTACTGTTACTACAAGATAATTGTTTCACATAAAACGTTGACGAAGGAGATGTTACCTACAGTAAATATCCGCATATAAGAACCTAGATTTTTGCAAGTTAGCCTAAACAGGTTCTTATGTAAATGGTGCTTACCAGGACATTAGGCTAAACAGATTCTGAAATAGGTTCTTACACGCCGGTTTTTACTCTATTTAAAGAACTCAGATCTTTCTGTTACCAACAATAAAAAACAATGAAAGAACAGTTTGACAACCTTTTGAAGAAAGTCTTATGTTTACATTTGCAAAGGGCTTCGTTGTCGTTATGTTATGGAGGCAAAAAATGACCCATGACGAAAACATTTCGTACCTACATGTAATGTTGCCCATATTTGGAATGCTCTAGTCATGTGACAGATAAGAATAAATAGAATCCATGTTGTTGTTGTTTGTAAACGTACTAGTCTGTTTTTACTCGACCTTACACGGTCACAGAACCCAAGACAACTTAACAGAAGTTTGGTTGCCTGGCAGTGAAGGAAAACCAATCTGGTGTCGTAGCTTCCAGTTGGACAATCAGACACGTTTGCCCCACATACAAGAACAATTTTAATAATACAGATTTGAAACGAGTGTATCTTCTGAAACCAAACTTGGTATCTGATCTCAAGAGAAAATTACGTATACATCATTTTGTCTTGCCGATCTTCATTACCATTCAAATAAATATGAGTCAGGGCAGGTGTGTCTGACTCTGAAATAGTCAACTGGATGCATACCTGTAAAGATTATGGTACAAGTCTAAGGCTTCCCGCCAGTTTTGGGGGTTGGAAAGACCTGCAGCTTGAAAGGCATACTGAAAATACTCCTGGTATTCATTGGTGCTCTCTGCAAGGGGAAGGTAATTATCTGTGATATAGTCACACTGCTGTGCACTGACAGGAGCAAGAAAGTCCTCAGTATTGCGCAGTTCAGGTAGGTAAAACAACTCATTGGGTCTTCCTTTTATAGTGTCATGGCGCGACTCTCTGATGTAGTGGCTGTTCCAGTGTACTTTTACGCTATCCAAATCTTGCTGAATGAGCCCGGAAAAACAGAACCACAAGCACTCCATCTGTAGTTCATTACCAGTAGTGAAGACTTGTTGTTCCAGTAAGTCCTTGAAAAAGTTCATCCACCAAGTAGTTAAGTGTTGTCTTAGGTACGACCACCACCCTTCTATTCGTTGGTTGTGAGGTGAGGTTCCATAAATATGTGCCAGATCATTGCCAATGAAATAGCATTGTGCTGCTGCTACAAGGCCGTTTTCAGTGCCACAGTCAGTTCTAACCTTCATGGGGCATCCTCCGTATTCCTTCACAGCATCCATATAATATCTCCCGATCACTACGGGATTATTGTTTGTTCTGTCCAATCTTAACCATATTATCTTTCGGCTGTAACCGTCAATACAGCCATGGATCGGGAACCCGTCAGGTTTCAATTTGTCATAGCCATCAATATGCCAACAGTAGTTCGGCCCTGGATTAGTGTAAACTCTTCTTTTGAGCTTCCGCCTTCGTCTTCGTTCGCACCCCTCAGGGTCCATTTCTTGTAAGCATGTCGCCACTGCTTGCCTCGACACCTGATAACCCTCACGGCGCAAAGTATGCCACATGCTCCTGTACCCCTTTAAGCAACCAGGCCCATCTAACTCCTCCTGTATTCTAGCTCTGATATCCTGGTCATTTGAATCCAATAGGTTCCGTCGTCGAAGCCCAAGTGACTTGAATCTCTCCTTGAGCGTTCGCAGGCTCATTTCTATTCCGTGGTATTTCAGCAAAAAGCACAGAATAACCTCATACTCGTATCCTTCGTTGAAATAATATTTCAGTGCTTGTGTTTCTATATCAAGCTCAGCACCACAGGTGGCACAAAACTTGCTGTAAAGCGTCACTGTTGCTGTGCAAACTTCACATGTTAGCGATGTTGTTGAGTTTGCCGCCGCCATCTTGAAATCGCGGGAAGAAGAAGCCAAGAGGATACCGGGATTGGTCACCTCACTACTCGCACCCAGGCGTCGCTCGTTACTTGTATTCGGTGTGAGTTTATTCGAATTCGGTGTGAGTTTATTCGAATTCGGTGTGAGTTATTTGAATTCGGTGTGAGTTATTTGAATTCGGTGTGAGTTATTTGAATTCGGTGTGAGTTATTTGCATTCGGTGTGAGTTATTTGAATTCGGTGTGAGTTATTTGAATTCGGTGTGAGTTATTTGAATTCGGAGTGAGTTATTTGCATTCGGTGTGAGTTATTTGAATTCGGTGTGAGTTATTTGAATTCGGTGTGAGTTTATTCGAATTCGGTGTGAGTTTATTCGAATTCGGTGTGAGTTATTTGAATTCGGTGTGACTTATTTGAATTCGGTGTGAGTTATTTGAATTCGGTGTGAGTTATTTGAATTCGGTGTGAGTTATTTGCATTCGGTGTGAGTTATTTGCATTCGGTGTGAGTTATTTGAATTCGGTGTGAGTTATTTGAATTCGGTGTGAGTTATTTGAATTCGGTGTGAGTTTATTCGAATTCGGTGTGAGTTTATTCGAATTCGGTGTGAGTTATTTGAATTCGGTGTGAGTTATTTGAATTCGGTGTGAGTTATTTGAATTCGGTGTGAGTTATTTGCATTCGGTGTGAGTTATTTGAATTCGGTGTGAGTTATTTGAATTCGGTGTGAGTTATTTGAATTCGGTGTGAGTTATTTGAATTCGGTGTGACTTTCTGGAATTCGGTGTGCACTTGTGGGCCACCGTACAATTTGCTGAATCACTACGAGCCTCAGCGCTCCGGAAGTTAAAAAATTCGTACCGTCTGGTTGTTATGAAGTGACGTAATCATCCAGTTGAGTATCCATCACCGTAACACTTTTGCGGTCAACTACCGCAGCGCTCGTAAAGTACTTTAATTAAAACCGTGTTCAAAACCCTGTAGGAAGTCTGTTTATTTTTGAGTCGATTAATGCACTGCTGACTTTCATGAGGTCACTTTTGCATAAATTATCAAACATTATGTTAAGCGGGAAATCTACCTATGGTTCGCGGGAGAAGCAACTTCTATAGCGGCGCAAGACAAATGTTTCGAGAGTCGAAGATGTGCTCACAAACTATTCACTATGCGACGAAAGGAGAAATCACTGGCATAATAGCTGCATGTAATGGTAATGTTATCAATCCAGGTCGCGCCGTGTTCGCTCGAGAACGCTGTGACAACCTCATTTGGTGCGCTTCTCAATACTTCCAAAACATGTTGTAATCGGTAAGTAGACTTAAGCACTTAGTATCGCCAAGCCATTCGAATCGGTGTAAACCCAATTCTTTGTCTGAAGATTCTCGCAAACACATATACCAAGTAAATCTGGATGGAAGAGGAAATTGTCTCCCTAAACGCAGCAAGATTATATTTTGAAGGATGGCGGCACAATTCAACGCGTCTTCCAGGTCAGCCCTAATTTATAGTTCGTTAGAGTATAAATTGCGATCCTATTTTCGCTTAAGCTTTCTTTGATAAGACTTCAGTAGAAACAAAACAACGCAGACATGACATTCT